AATTCAATTTAGCAGATAATAGTAACAAGAGCATTGGAAAGAAAGTTAAGAAGATGAAGAAGAGAATAAAAGAACTGGACAAAAAGGCAACAAAAGGGGAATCAAAAAACACAGATGACAAAAAGAGGAAAAGAAAGAGAAAACCAGAAGACAACAACAAGTCAAACTTAAATGCAAAAAAAATGAAAGCCAAAGAAGATGACATTGAAATGAACAAAATAAGTAGACGTCAAATGAGAAGGCTAAGAGCTAAAGAAAAAAAGAAAAGTAAAACTAATAAGTAGGAAAATCTATCTTAGGTTTTATTGCAAGTGACCATCTATATATATGTATTTCCATTAAAACATTTTTTAGCTATTTTTCTCTAAAGTAAACTTGAAAAAAGGAAACTTTTTATGGACCTTAGCTAGTTATACAACACAAATGTGAGAGAACGAGTTGTACTGCGACTTGCTCCCTCACATTTTGGCTACAACATTTAATGAACTGAAATCAAGAGTCTTAACCCTTTAAATCCCAAGATCTGATAGTTAATTCTCCCCTCTAGCTGCTACTCATTTCCTTGCTAATTAGTTATGAGAACTTGCTGCTAGATCAAGATAGCAGCTTCAACCTGACAAGATTGAATATTCACATTATCTGTTTGCTGAATAATGTATGGATATTGTAGGGAGAAGTTTTGTGTTAATCACATCCAGGAGTTAAAGGGTTAATGCATTGTTTTTATATCTCACTCGTAGGGGAATTAATTTATCATCACCTCTCTAAAATACTGAATGTCATTGTATAATTTGTTTAGTTTGATTTCAAAGAACCAGGTGTAAATTAAGATATTTTCACTGATGATGATGTTTAATGTCGTTCTTTTTATTTAAGATTTTTACCTGATGTCTGCTGAATTGTACTCTGTTTGCAAGACAACTTTTTGCTTCAAATACACAACCATTAATACAAAAGAAAGTGAGCCCATAACATGTCATTAACCTTGCTGTTTTAAAATAAAAGATGGGCTTTATACATTGAATTCCGGTTGAGTGGTTACTGATCCCTTGCTTAGTTTGAGCTGGTCAAGTGGTTAACCCTTTACACTCTTACATTGTCAGTCATATTCTGTACCCTGTCTTCTTTGCATCCCTTTGGATCCCATTTCTTACAGTACAGACAAGGAGAATTTGTTTGACAATCAGGAGCCTCTTAAATTGGAGTTAATTTCCACCATTGTCTTGACTTTTACATTTGATCCAAGGGTGATACTGTAAGCAGAAAGGAGAAGCCAGTCGCAATTTGGGGGTTTTTAAGGGTTCACTGATGGAAACAGTGAATGATAACCGAAATTTAGCATTTTCGTAGACCGTGCTTGAGATAGTGCTGTCAAATTACGCATTTACTGAGCAACAGCAAATGCATAATATTTAGTTTGACGTTCATTGAGCCGTAGAAGGCTAGATTTGTGAAAAATACGACAATTTTTTTGGTTTAAAACTAATGTACAAGCACACAATATTCGTACATTTTATCTGTTTCGGCTTTCAATTATCAGCTTATGTAACCGCGTGTGCCAGGTACACAAAGTTCAAGAGTTTGCTACACAAAGGTATAACATAACTAGTGGCTAGATTCTATGTGCATACTACGAGTAGAGATTTCATAACCCTACCTCAACAGTCATAACCTCCAAATCAGTGCTTGCTTCAATACTTGCGAAGAAGTGGTGCTTATCGTTTTTGTAAACTAAGTGAACAACTACCCCTAGCCAACGGTGTACCGTGGGAGGTCTGGGACGGAGTCAACCCTGGATAATCCGACTCGTGATTAAGGAATTAATCAAACTCGATCAAACACTCGATTAGTGATGTAGGTTATTATAGGCCTCGATTCTCGATAAGTCTTGTTAGGCTCGGCTATAAGTCGAAATCCATTTAAATAGTAAATACAGACATGGGAAATAATATCAGACACGGAAAATAATATCAGACACGGGAAATAGCAGACAATGAGGAGGTCTGAAAGAGGCCAACAATAACGGACCCTGTTAATTGATTTCCGACACGAAAATTAATTTTTCGATAGGGAAAATACCCAGACTGAATTTTGAACGGTATGTTACGCCATAATAGGCAACTTTTTGGTCAGAAGATGCTAATCGGAAACTTCGGCAAATCCCTCAGGTGTTCTGAAGCTGTTGCGCCATTGTTAAAAAGTCGAAATCCATTTAAATAGTAAATACAGACATGGGAAATAATATCAGACACGGAAAATAATAACAGACACGGGAAATAGCAGACAATGAGGAGGTCTGAAAGTGGCCAACAATAACGGACCCTGTTAATTGATTTCCGACACGAAAATTAATTTTTCGATAGGGAAATACCCTGACTGAATTTTGAACGGTATGTTACGCCATAAATTTTCGCTTGTCTAACAAGTCTATTGTTATCAATGTTGAGCCACTTTTCTTGATGCGTAGAGGGCAGAAACCACTGACAAGCACCTGTTGAGAAGAGTTTGCAAGAATTATTCATTTTGCTTGCATTCCTTTATTAGGCAGAAACCACCGACAAGAACCTCTTGGGAAGAAATGTGCAAGCTATGGTCACTTGCAGTTATTCAGCTTCTGCATCTAGACCATATAAAACCGCTTGTCTGATTTTCAAGACCTCAGAACAAATCACTTGTGAGTTGTAGTTTCCTTTAAATTTTAAGAATTCATAGCTTTTAACCTGTGAGGTAAAGTAGTTCAGGAACCGTTTCTTAAAATTTAGAATTCTTAGTTTGGGGTCGGTGATAATTCTAAGGGGTGTTATTCCAGCGTTACAATATTTAAAACCCTTTAATACCCAAGAGTGCCATATGGCGCAAGATGCCATTACATGCGTAATATTTATTCATCTTTTCTGAAATTTTCACAACCAAAAGGTCATTAAAAGATCTGCACATTGAATGCGTCATTTTTTTGCTTGAAGTGCTTTAGTCTCTAATACAGAATCTGAAAGAGAAATGTTCGGTGAAATCCGGCGGAATTGTGGCTCATAAAAACGCGAGTTTTTTTTCACACGACAAGTAGAAAACATTGTTCAAGCGTGTGTTTTATAAATGAAAGACAGCCGAATTTACCGCAACATGAAGATTGCTCGGGCTGACAGCACCGTAAAACTCGGTTGCAGTGACCGATGTGGCCTTCCACTCAACGCACCGGAGTTGTTCTCTCAAGAGGCGGCTGATATAATTTCTGAGGCTTACTTGACTTCGATGACCGGAGATCGCCTTGATAAGCTAGCCGCGTTATATGTCAGCATGATAATCGAGGTCAGTCTGACACCGTCATGACTAATATGAATTTTAACAGTTATGCCAGTTTAGCAATATTTTTATATGCTACACGAATATTAGCTGTGTTTGATTTTCATTACCGTACGTAAGCTTGCAATCTAACTGAGTGTGAAACCTTCAAAACTCGGACTATTCATTTCGTTTTCTCTATAAGGATTTCCGTCTCTGCTCAAGTTATAATAACGTCAATGACAGCGCCTAGCATGTTTACAAAACTTTGTTTGGTTCTTCTGTTACTATTTGCTGACTCGCCTCTTCCGAAATGTCACTTTCAATCACAGAAAAAAAAAATAGAGAAAGTCCTGGAAAAGGTCGGACACAGTACAATTTGGCAGATGGCGCAACAGCTTCAGCTCAGTTCTATGGGAGTATAGAGCATAGAGCACGCTCTTTCAGCTAATGACAGCACATGTTATATCCGAACTTTATTATAAAAAATAGTGTTAATAGCACAGAATGATTTTTCAAAATAACTCAATGTTAATTAATTTTCAAGATTTTTTAAGGAGGAAATTGAGGAAAGAATTTGTATAATGTTAGTAAATCGTCTATAGATGGTGACGACTTTTAAGGGAACGACGAAGCAAAGTAAAGTGTTATAAATCCTCTGGGGATCCTATTATTTATCAAAACTATGACTAGTCGAGAGCATACAGTGAAAAAGCAATATGGGTGAGGTTGAGTATTTGATATCATGAAAAATCAATGCTAAGGTCTGAGTTATCCTTAAAGGAGGCAAGAAGAGAACTGTGGGGAGGGTAAGAACGTAAAAATACTTGTGAGGGGAGGGGGGGGGTTGAGGATCCCTTTCATTGCGCATGTTCGTCTTCCGCTCCCCGCACCTTTGAAAACTTGCTTTTCAGCGCGAAAGTGTATTTTTTGCAGCTCAACAGGAAGCCAACAATTTCGCTTGTATCGAAAAGGAATGTATTTACTCAGAGGATTACACGCTTTTGCCAAAGAAAATCATAGTGGAGTCAATCATACCTTTATTAAAATTTATTTTTTAAACTGCCATCATTCACAGTGAACCCTTCTATAAAAAAATAATTTTTCATAAAAATGATCATTAAAATCAACTTTGATTGTGGTGGCAATCGGTGTTAGTCCATGAAAGCTCTGGACCTTGCGATTTTTGTCGAGCGCCGTGACCCATTGCGGTCTTTTTAATAATTTGGCTTTCTTGTCAATTTTAACAGACAAATATTCGTCACGACAATTTGACGTAGACTACTCTTCAGAAATGAGCAGTGTGTTAGTAAGAGAATGTTCTCCTTCGCAGCCGTTGCTTGATCTCGTCTCGGTAGGAGAGAGATCGTTGCGTGACGAGACCTAATAAAGGCTGCGAGGGGAGACAAACAAAAACAAAACCGAAGAGTTAGTCTGATAATTATTCCCAGACGTCAACACGGGACATGTGACTAAATTGAACGTCATGTTCGACGAAGAGGGGAGAGTAGATTACGGAAGTAATTAGGATATAACCTTTCAGTTTCTTTGGAGAGATTCACAATTGTCAGCAAACGTCGATGTAGTCGGGATCTCTTCATGGAAACAAGCCTACAGTGATTTTGGTTGAAGTGTGATCTGGTTGATAGCAGATTCAGTTGATTCGTATTTCGCGCGTTGATCGACTTCAATCCACGCAACAAAAGATTATTTGCAGCCTGATGAAACCAAAGTGTTTTCTTTTCCTGGTTCTGCTGGGTTTTGGCAGATTAGGTCTCACCGTGTCTTCTTTTGATGAGTCAAACGTCAAGAGTTACCATGTGGAGAGGAGGCCGGGTAGCAATCCAGACCTGTTTGTTGTAGAGTTGAAAAGTGGCAGTCAATGTGATATCTGCACTTCCATGAAGGCCCATTTTCACAGAGACATTCCTTGTACTTGTACTTGTCCATCAGACTATTCTACATTTCTTCCGTCGTTGAGAAATTGCATAAGCCAAAGCCACTTGCCCGCAAATTTTACAGGTGATGTCAAAGTCAATATTCACTTTAGGCTCAGCCTGCATGTCCATACTGGGTTTTCGTCGGGGGTGGGGGTGGAGGGGGGTGGAGGTGGGTTTTAGGAAAGAAGGACTTGTGATTTTGACATGCTTCAGTCAATAAGCACCCTAAAACTGGGTGCACATTTCATCCAGACCCCATATCATTCTTGATAAACTGTAATTTTCCTAGCCAGAGCTGATGATTCTTTGAAGAATTGCATCATTTCTGTGATGACCACTCTCATCTTCATTTATTAATCCACAGTTAGTATATATAGTATTCTTGTATCCACAGTCGTTAATTGTAATCTTCATTTAAGGAGAGGTTTGTTCAGATAAAATTGCTTACTTAGCTTGTTTTCTTTCTACTGAATAAGGCCAGTCTGTGATTGGACAACTACAGGCATGGACAATTTTTTCTTTGAGAAAGCAGAGTAAATTTTCAAATTATAACCCACAAGTGTAAAACATACTAAATAGATTTGAGCACCACTATTCCTTTGTTTTAATACACACCTCACCTCTATGGTAAAAGTGACATGTGAAAGTGCACAGGCTAATATTAGGACTAGTAACTATATGGGAATTGCATGCTGTAAGTAAGAAACTAGTAATTAGCTGCATTATGGTAGTTTCAGCTATTTTTAGAAAGGTCTGATATCTTTTTATTGTTTTTTCTGTCCTTAGATTGTCCAAATCAGAAATATGAAAAGATAGACGGTAAAGACCTCTTGAAATTCCCAGTAAACCTTCAAATCAACAAAAAGGAGGAAACAACTGTCAGTTCAGTGGATTACAACTGCAGCCTCTATGGCTACTATTTGGACTACAGTGGTTTTGAAGTTAGATGGAAAAACATTACTGATGGAGTCTTCGATCTAACAAAGGAAAATGATCCCAACAACAAATTTAGCATTCAGGTAACAAAACTTGTCTTAATACAAGTCAGGGTTTCTTCTAAGTCGTGCATGACATCTTTCTGAATAGCTTTTAGTTATTGACAAGAGTCCCTTGCCTCCCAACTGATTATGTAAATGGCTGGTGCCTGTATGGTGATTATAGACATAATTGAAGTCACATTAGTCCTCAGTTTAGTTTTTTATTCATGAATTCTCTCTCTTTTTTTTTTTCAAGAGCTTGTTTGGTAACAAGATAGGCAAAACATGCCAGTTTTGAAAAGAAATTATGAAATGAACAAAGTGTAAATTAGGCCGTTTTACAGCAGTAAGGTTAAACACGTGTTGATACTGCAATTTCTTCATGTTGGTGGTTGGTAACCCACTTTCTATACATCACAAAAAAATCCCTTTGTCATACAAATGCATATATACAAGTGCAAATGCACTTTCTATACATCATAAAAAAATTCCTTTGTCACACAAATGCACATGTACTGTAATGGTAAGCTAAAAACATAGAAACAAGCAACTGTAAACAGGGGGACAATGTTGTTTGTTTGAAGCATAATTATGACTGCATGTAAACTGACCTTGCATTTTGCATCCAGTATCATTCAGTGGTCAAATCATTTGTCAAGTTTATTTTATTTAAAAATGAAACTGAATGATTTTGTACTCACATATTACAAATTAGCGGCAACTTAGAATTTCACCCCTTCAATTTTAATGTTCTTCTTTCAGGGGGAAGACAAGGATGGAAAATTGTCTGGAATGATCATCTATCTTAAATTGACTTGTGTCAGACAAAACCATGAAAGCACAGAAAAGTGCTATCTTCTTAAGGCATTAGGAAATGTAACTTGTAAGTCAAACTTAACTTTTTTTTTATTCAATATTTATATTTTTTTACCTCTGGATTATTTCCTTGTCATGTATTCAGAAATTTTGCTGATTTTCATGGTTCCCTAATAAGCCTGGTTCATATATTCCAGACTGGTTCTTGAAAGCACAGGGTTCTTGAAAGCACAATGACTCTAGAAGAAGGAACATACTGTTTAGCAGCCATCAGTCAATTGCGGCAATGCAAACACATAACAGTATTGCATTGTTTTATGGGTCAGTCGATGATGTCAATTGGCCAGTATAAAGAGTTTCTAAAGCCGACATTTTGAATGGTGCTCTGACGAAGGGCTAATATTTGAAACATCAGCTATTAAAACTCTTCATGGTGGCCATTTTACATCATCAACTCAATTGATAATCAAATTATCATGTAATACCCCCACCAATGCAACGTCACAGTTTTCTTTAATTAGAAACTAACCCCCTTTATTCATGATAGTATTTAGACAGGCACACACTAAAATAAATGCTCTTAGTGCATATTTTAGAAAAATAAAACATTTCCAGCTGTAAAGTTCAGCTCATTGCTTTATTTGTAATATTTAATAGCTAAAAGGTGAGAGAGTGAAATGAAAATTTTGTTTTTTTACTTATCTTTCCAGATTATGCCCCATCGACATCAAGCTCAGGATCTTTCATTACTGTTCCAACTGCAGTGAGTTCTCCCAATCCATCATCTATGTTTGCATTTTCACCATCACCACAATTATCTCAATCAATGCAAACATTCTCCCAGTCATTATCCCCACAACCAACCACTTCCCCATCACCTTCTCCTTCATTGGATGCAACCACAAGAAGTCCAACAAAACACATAGGCAAATTTTCAACATTTGTATCAAAACATGTGGAAACCAGTTCACTTCAAACAAGGCCAGTCTTACATTCAGCTGGACCAATTCTGCCATCAACATCAACAGCAGAACTTGAAAGCTTCTTACCAGTCAGTTCAGAGGAAATTTCTAATCATGTGATAAACACAGGGATCCCAAAATCTTCAGCTAGCACAGTGGAACCAAATTATAGCGAACCATCAGAAGTAGGTTTTCTGTTTGAGGAACAGTTGTTGGTTCTGTAAGTGTTAATGTTAAGAGGGTGCATTGTTGCCATTATGTATGATACTATGAAACCATGATTATAATCATTATGGAGCCTAGAAGTTAAATGTGCGACAATATTGATTAACATGACTCCTCACCCTGAAGAATATGTGTTTGGGAAATCTATAATTATTTGTAGATTAAAAGTAATATACATTTAATTGTGAAGTCTTTTAAAGGACAAATTTGATAATTATTTAAAATTTTGTTTTACTTTCTCATGCTCCAAGTTACCAACCACTGAGGCAAGTCTTCCTCCTGTGGATGGTCCAGGAGACAAAGAGGCAAGAAAAAGTGGAAAAGACAAAGGAGTAGCAATTGGTGCAGGAGTTGGTGTTGCTGTTGTTTTTGGGATTATTGTCATAGGGTTGATCACTGTATTTTGCAGGAGAAGAAGGTCAGCCAGGTAAGCTACTTCAACAGAAATTGATAAATATTTTACAGCAGCTACAAAAAAATGTTCTAAAAGAAATTACAGAGCTTGCAGATATCATTTGTTTTGACTTGTGTCATAAATTACATTTTGTTGTGTGAGAGAGAATGTAAATGTTTATAATTTGGATAATACAGTCAACAAGAGAGAGCTTACTTATAGCCTTGTGTTCTTGTAATGATCATAGTTTTGAATTGTAATCTGGATTTGTTTTACAGGGAAAGTACAGAAAAGAAAGCAAAACTACATGTAGGAGGTAAGGTTTTGTATCAACTCTTTACACCCTAACATCAATATGCATATTCTCTGTACTGTTCTCCATACATTTCCTAGGGTGTTGACAAAGAGAATTTGTTCAACCCTTTAACTCCTATTGGTGACCAAGACAGAATTTCTCCTTACAATATCAATACAATATCAAACAGACAAGTGATGAGCACAAAGAAAAATATAAATTTGGGGGATTATTAGTTGATCTAATACCAAATTCTCCAAACTAACATCACAAGAACTATATAGCAGACAGTAAGGAGAATCACTAATGAGATCTTGGGAGTTAAAGGTTAACAATCAAGAGTCTTCAGCTGGTGATCATTTCCTTCATTCTCCTGATCTTAATGTGTGATTCAAGGGTGATATATATTGTAAGGAGAAATTAGATGTTTGTCATTCTTAGGGGTCAAAGGGTTAAGGGTAAAATTAACTTGTTGGAACGCTGGTACACTATTAGACCCTCCTTGTGTCTCAGGTGGATTGATCAAAATATTTAGAAAGTGATCACTGCTGTCTTTTTACTCACATTTATTAGCCAAAAACTGCATTATGTGTCTATGAATCTAAAGACCAATTAGGGCTCAAGATGTATAATATTATAATACTGTGCATCAAATTATTTTGACTGTATACAATCATGTTGTAGCCACATTATTGAATGACTGTTCAGTATAGAATACAAAGTGAATCTCCTATCACAATTTAAGATCATAGTAAAAGCTAGTTTTGTTAATGAAGTAATAGTTGCAATTACTTTATTTAAAATTTTAATCCTAGTTAAGAACCCAGTGTATGAGAAACCTCAAGATGACATTAAAATGGAAAGACCAAGAGAGAAAGCCACAACTTTCAGCAAACAAGACAGTCAACCAACATACTTGGAACTTGTTGACAACAAAGGTGAGTTGGTCAGACAGTAATAATTTGTAGAATGGCATGAAATGATTATAGTATTTTATTGATTAATAATAGTTGCATTAATGGTTGAATTGAATCCCATGCTCTGATTGGCTATCCAAGTGGGTAAGTTGAGCCCATCTCACCTGTTTGGGAGTGCCTGCTTTGATTCCATGCAAGAAAAAAAATTTGTGGAGTTGACTTACAAAGTGCTTATTAAGTTTTGGACAATGTCATCAATGGAATTGTCAGAAAAAAAATACTTGGGCCAATATCCAGCCATCTTGATCTCATGCTTGCAGATTAGTAAGGCAGGTATTCCACAAATGGCAGGCTTTAAAATTAATATGAGGAAGAAATAGCACAGGCATACAAAATCTAACAGGAGAATCCCCTGATCTCCAATGACTGTTAAACACCCTGGAATCTATTCAGAATAATTCTCTTAACTTTTATTTATCATATTTTTCCATTTCTGCAGTAGGACATGAAAATTACGGAGCTGTATACAGTACTGCAGATGAAAATTATGACAATTCATCTGTTTACCAAAGTCTGGACAAGAATACACCTGCAGCACCACCAGTTTACCAAAGTTTACAGAACAACCAGCCTTCCACCAAGAAACCAATACCAAAACAGAAACAAAGCAATGCAAAAAACCCTGGAAAACCCAGTGTACCCCCAGACCCTGTGTATAGTGTCCTTGAGGAGTCTCACATCAAACAAGGAAATACATCAGAGGCAATATATAATGTACTGGAAGGGCCAGATCCTGGACAAGATACTCCAGGGAACATTCAGGACCCTGTTTACAATGTGCTGGATGGGCCTGGTGCAGGACAGACAGATGAGGCCCCAGATGTTGGTGTTCAACAGGATCCACTGTATAATGTGCTTGAGGTGCCTGAATCCAAACAAGAACATCAGGAACCACTATATAATGTGCTTGAAAGTGCAGGTACTGAAAATGCCCCTTCCAGACAGCATGGCCCCTCTGATGGTGCAACCAATGAGCCCCTATATAATGTTCTTGATGGGGCAGATTCAAGTGATGCAGAATATGCTGCTCCCAATAGACCCCTGTCTGCTGATGTTCATGACAACCCAGCCTATGGGCAGACCCTTGAATTTGGTGCACCACATGTATTGGTGGACAGCCCAGGGTCTCAGAGAGAATCTTTGTATGAGCCCCTGAAAGGGTCTGATAGGCAAGATGTTTATGAGCCCCTTCACAAAAAGGGGAAATGAATAGTACCAAGGATGTGGACCTTGAGTTGAAAACAAAGTAAACAGAAGTTGGTTGCGATTTAGGGGCCTAGGAGCCCTCCATCGAAATTAAAGTCAATATTGACTCTCAATTGTCGTTATGTTAGCCATTAAATCAACAGAGGCAATGGGAGTGTAGGAATAAAACTCAATTCTATACACTAACTTGTAATTAAAATTTATATCTCTTTCTGACAGTGTGCAATTGCATATATAGTGTCACAGGGCAAGTTACAAGTGAAATATTTTATAAAGTATTTTAAAATGTGTATTTTTGTAACAAAGGATGTAGACATTTGCTGCCAAGCAGAATTCAAGAACACTATTTTTTTACTGAAACTTTTTGAATGACTACAATTCTGTAGGTTATGAAGCAAAAAATAATTTTGCTCCTAATTGTTTTAGTACTTATCAATGGTTATCACCCAAATCGAAATAATTTTGCCCTGTAAAATACAGTATTCATACCTCAGAAGAATTTATGAATAGTTTTTGTTACTGTAAGAATTTGTTTAAAAAAATAAATACCCCAAGTTAACTTGAAAAAAACGGAATTGAGATCTAGAGTTTTTCTTTTTTTACAAAATTGCAAAAAAAATGTGAAAGTTAATTCTTTAACTCCTGTGAGTGATCAAGATAATCTCTCCTTACTATATCTATACAATATCATACAGGCAAGTGATGAGAATAAAGAAAAATATCAATGGGATTACTAAATGATCCCATACCAAGTTCTCCAAACTAACATAAGGAGAATCGTTTGGCAGACAGTAAGGAGAATTACAAATGAGATCTTGGAAGTCAAAGGGTCAAGAGTCCAACATTGGAGAAACAGAATAGTGAGGAAAACAGGTGACAAAAAGAAAAATCAGGAGTGAGAAATATGTTTCATTTGATGTAATAAATGATAGAGAAATGCAAAACAATGAATGTTATTTTGTACATAATTGATCAGCACTGATGACATAACAGGGATGGGCAAGACAGAATGTGGAACTGAGACCATCCTTATCCCCCCCCACCACAAGAGCATGCCAATGCATTCTGACTATTGCCAGAGCTATTGGTTATTGGTTTGCTTTGAAAGGTGGTTGCACAGCATTCCCATTAGGTGACATTATGTAGGCTTATTTGCAAAGAACTAAAATAAAAACTAAAATAAAAACAACTCATTTATTTTCTTTGCTTATTTTCTTTGCAGTAACCTGACATGCTGTGTTTAATCAGCAATTTTTGGGGAAATTTTATTTAATACACTCTTACAGTGCCATTATAGCTTGTAAATAATTAAGAAAGGCTTAAACAATGAGTTAAAATTATTAATACTAACAATATTGATAAACTTTTTAAGTGAACAAAGTAAAGATAATCTTCAAGAGAATTATGAATCTAAATTAAATTTGGAATTTGAACATGCTAAATTGAACCAAAAATATCCTACCACTCAATATATTACACAATTTACAATATTATTTATAATAATTATCTCTTATTATAGTAATTATTCTTTTTGTATTCCACATATGATAAGATGACACAATTGAAACTCCAAGCTGTAATTAACCCCTTTAACTCCTAGAAGTGATGAACATGTAACTTCTCCCTATTACATCCATACATAATCCAGTACACTGGTAATAAGAATACTCAAACTTATCAGGTGAAAATTGTCATCTTGATTTAACACCAAATTCATATTGCTAAGTTACAAGGAAATGTGCAGCAGCTAGAGAGGAGAATTGACAATCAGATCATGGGAGTTTAAAGGTTAATAATACATTTCCAATGTTCACCTGGCTTCTCTTCTTCCATTCTGCATCATCAATGTTGAGTCTATAATTCCCCACAACCCAAGCATATTCCCGGCTTACCCTCTTAGATAAACAAGTGCTATATTTTATTTCACCAAGACTGACTTAACCCCGCTCTGTTAATTTGTCGTAAGTTTACAAAAGATCAACCTGCTTGACTGTCCTTGATAGTCAGAAATGAGAATGTAATCATTTGTGAGGACAGTTAGGTTTGCAAGGGGCTGATGCAGCTTAGTTTCCTTTGGAGGTGCTCTCTCTTGGAGACCCTCCTGTCAGTTTGCCTCCACAGAATTTTCATTTGGCAAATGTAAAAAAAAAAGTTTATATTTATGTTCCAATCACTGAATCTGGGAGAACTTCGATGTAATCATTCTCTTGCAACGAATCATCACCCTTATGGTCTTGAAAGGGCTCCTCTGAAGAGGCCCCTGGTGATCTGGGTGAATTAGGTCCGTGGACGGTTGTATATATTGGTGATGAAGGACCATCGGCTTCTCTTGTTTGCACATAATCTGCTTCGTCGTGCTCAGAACCAGCATGTCTAAGGGAGTCAAGATTGTCTAAACTTGTGCGACTGGCTGTTAAAACAATGATTCCTTCTGGTTTAGCATAATCATAGGTTTTATCTTTTGGTTTATTCTGAGGTGGTTTTACACTTTGGGGTTCACTATAAACAGCTCCATCTGATCGACAGTCTGCAGATCCTGTTTCTTCCAGTGGAAGTAAGTAACCAGAATGATCTGAAATTAAGATGGGTGAGAAGAGTCACCAATGAATAAAACTTAAGTTATACCTCTTACTAACTGAGCTTGCAGTCCATAATTTAAGATACAGACCAAATATTTTCCACTTGGGTTTGCAGTTTAAGAACAAAGCAGAAAAAGAAGCTACATCATGGACTGAAAAACCAAGGTGCATAAATAATACAATAGTCCATTTTTCAGTTGTATGCTTGGTTGCCAAGCCTTTGAACAGGAATGAGGCTAAGGGTGACCTTGTTATGATACAAACCTTGCTGTTTTTCAAATGCAAATTACTTTGTTATCATGCTAACTAGATACTGGTCTCTATCACAACAAGGTCACCTTCAGCCTCATTCCAAGTCAAAGGCTTGGCAATTAAGTACACAACTTTAAAATGGCCTATTCATTATATCTCTTAATTGAGTTGCGCTAATCTCTTCAGAGGTTTGAGTGTACAACACATAACGTACCTTCGTTAGGCTTAATCAGCTTTTGATACTCTGAGCGACATCTCTCAGGTGCAGGTTTCAGGAAGGCGTATCCCTTGCGTATTGGACTTCCTACTTTTGCATAACCTGCTTCATCAACAGCTGGTTTGCTGTCAGATGGAGGAAAGGGAATTATTGTCTCGGCCTCTTGTTTAAAGAGAGCATTGCCTAATACAATCAAAAAAATAAGTTAGAAAAGATTACATCAGGCATGTTTCTAGGAGATGAACAAAATAGACATTCAAGAGAAAGTAATATTTCTTACCAACATGAAGCCTCGCTGTGCGCTTTTTTCGTTTCCTTCGACTCCTGAGGAGATGAACAGTTATTTGTTATTAAATGAGGCAATTAAATAATGGTTAGTATCTATGGCATTTATCTCATTGGTGTTTAAACTACAATTATAAGTATCTTTGGTACATGAATTTGTTAATAAAATCCCCTCACTTGGACACTGGCATACGAACCAGTGAGCCAAATGTTTTGTCCTCACCACAATTTGAGGTCATCTCTAAAGTGTCATGCACAAGGTAAAGAAATGGTAAAGTCTGTAGTGGAGCCTATTGCCACCCTCCCAACTGGGGCTTATCCCATCCATATATTATTATCCATCACAAGATTACCCCTTGGCATTTCATAGACCAGGCTTTACTGACAATTTCCTGGTGCCTCAGTTTGATGTCATACTCAAGAACATATCATTATAACCCAACCTACAGCATCTCTGAACAGACAATTTGCAAATGTTAGCCCTTCAACTCCCACAGGTGACTGACATGTAACTTCTCCCTACAATATCCATACATTTTCTAGCAAATGGTTAATGAGAATACTCAAACTTATCAGGAAGAAGTTTTTTTCTTAATCTCACACCAAACTCTCCTAACTGATTTACATGGAATTGTGTAACAGCAAGAGGAGAGAATTAACAATCAGATCTTGGGAGTTGAAGGGTTTATTAAGCAATCACCTCTCACACTAACAAAACTAACATTTTGGCTACAATGATGAAAATTAAAAAAAAAGGGGAATCACACCTTCGCTTCATTTTCCAACAAATCCATAAAGTTGCAGTAATGGACAGGGTGACAATAACAGCACCACCTGCGACAACTGCAATGAGCCAAATAGGAAGGCCGCTATGGCCACCATCATGGAATTCTTTGTCACCTTTATTAAAGACTGACTGCTCTGTAGTTGGGGAAGGAGTGCCCTTGTTTGGGGTAGAGACAGGATCTGTTATGCCTCCATGTTTCTTTGTCATATTTCCCAGTTAGGCTGGTATTAGAAGGTGTTGTCTGTATAATTACATAAAATCATATGTATCAATTTTTCAAAAGGTAGGAAGACCTGGCCTGCAGGCCAGACATGATCAGAGCTTTTGTTCCATGGGTGTTAACAGCAAACTCTTTTGTATAGAATGAAAATCGGCTGTTAGAGTTTTCCTGTCATCATCAATTGGAAACTTTAACTAACAAGTGGAAAGAAATCAAGCACTGCAAACTCAAAGTGTTCCACTTTACCTAAAATTCTTAGTTTTTTCAATTGATAATTAACTTGTACATACCATCAATGTTGGTAATGATGGGTTTGATTCTTGACCTTCAAATCAACAAAATCATTATATCAAAAATAAATATTTAATTTTTGAAAAGACAATGGCAAATTTAAGAGAAAATTAATGCCAGCACTTATATAATAAATCACCATTAAGAATAACTTCTAATTTCATCACAAAAATGTACCCTAAAGTTAGTATTAATAAATAAATGAACAGCTAGAAAATAGTTTGTAAATAAAAATTTTAAATGTTTCTAATTTTATTGGTTTGATAAGTACATATCTCCTGACCAGTCAAAGATAAATGGTCATGATGCACTAAAAAATAAAATATTCCCTGAAATATTTCTAATTATTCTCAGTTTCCTTAAAACTGTGTAAGAACCATTTAGGTCTGAAAGCAGGTACATGTGGGGCCTACTCGCTGAAACTGAGATCTGGTATTGGGTTATGCTTTTAAACGGATAGAACAGAACCATTTTGGATGTTTCTCTGGTCTGAACCTAAAGGAGGCAGCTTTCCCAAAGCATGCTGCACTCCAACCAGAATGCTTCAAGAGTACCATCAAACTGGCCTGTGTCACCCTTAAACCCCTAACAGTGACTTGCATCCAATTTCTCCCCACAATATCACCCCAAATTCAGAGAATAAAGGAAATTATCACCAAATAAAGAAGCTCTTGATTATACAACAAATTCTCCTTGTCAGCATCTTAGGAAATGTATAGAGAACAGTGTGGAGAATATGCATACTGACGTTATCAATGTGTAAAAGGTTATGGTACACTACCACAAGGATAACAATTTTAAAGAACAGTTCTACTTACAAGGTACACTAGTTCTGCCCCTGAATTTGAACATAATGCACAAATTTTTCGGAAGATTGCTGTCTTGTCCAGTGGTACATTGTAGGATGACTTTAACAACCTTTCCATACAGCTGAGTCACTGGCTGTCTTCTATTCCACTGTACATGGTGAAAAGAAAAAATAAAATAAATTTAACCAACTTGTCCGTCCATCCTCTCTTGTTAAATCACCTGATACAGTTTTATTCCATAAATTTGTTAAATTAGTTATCTGGAAGCTCTCTCTTCAAATTGCTTTAAATTAGCATGTATTTTATTGAGTCAACCAATGTGTCTGTGGAAAGTTTGGTGCCATATCAAGAAAAAAATCTCTAAAGTAAAGTATCAATGCCAACAGTGCAGAGAATCCACATTAAAATCTTGGAAGCTTAAGCTAAAGGGTCAGAGTCAAGAGTTTTTTATTTCAAGGAATGATTTCAAAGTTGAGTTAAAGATGAAATCTGTTCTTAAACTGAGTGGCCCACCCAGCCAGAGCTCATCCCTGTTTCCTAAGCATGAAGAAACTAGGAGTATCACTACTCCCCCCTGGATGAGACATGACCCCATTGCAAGGTTACCTCCCCTCCCCTCTAGCATTTGACCTGGCTTTACTGATACCCATTTGTACTCCTGGTTAAAGAGAGGCACTGTAAATAAACCCTTTAACTCCCAGGAGTGACCAAGGGAGAATTTCTCCTTACATTATCAATACAATATCAACCATATAAGTGATGAGAATAAAGAAAAAAATCAATTTGGGGATAATAAGTTGATTCAATAATGAATTCTCTGAACTAAAATTTTAAGATTTGTATTGTTGACAGTAAGGAGAATTACAAATTTGATCTGGGAGTTGACCTCACCAGATCTCACACACAGACCCCTCAACCTGGAGTCTGGTGCACTACCCATTGTGCCACTGGATCCTGCATTAAAATTTAACTTTAGAATGATTTAATCATTAAAAATGTAAGGATACCTGAAGGAAGTGAGCATGTTGTTTATTTTTTAGGTCTCGATGGTGAATTTTGAAAGCGGGCTGCTTTCCTGAGAACATTTTCCATGCAGCAGAGCTATTTGCTGTGACATAACTTGTTCCTCTGATATCACAGTCCTCCCTTGGAAGAGTATACAATTTTAAAGACCTTGACCTATTGAATATTCTTAGAGCATTATCAGCTCTTTCTCCACTGAAGTGTAACGTACACTCTGGAAAAAGGAACAAAAGACTTGACTCAAAGAATGGTTTGAACCAGACAGCAACAGCCTAGCTTATAGTAATAACCCACAAGGATGAATTGTTGACAGGGTATGATGTTTGAATGGGGTTCACCCTTTAACCTTTAACCCTTTAACTCCCAAGAGTGACCAAGACAGAATTTCTCCTTACAATACTAATGCAATATCAAGCAGACAAGTGATGAGAATAAAGAAAAACATAAATTAGGGGATTATAAGTTGCTCCAATACCAAATTCTCCATGCTAATATCACACGAATTGTATGGTAGACAGTAAGGAGAATTACTAATGAGATCTTGGGAGTTAAAGGGTTAACTCCTACAAGTGACTGGCTTCTAATTTCTTCATACAATAGCACCCCTGAATTACACACTAAGGTCACAAGAAAAATTAACAGGAAATGATCACCAACAAAAGAAGCTATTGAAAACTTTCCTTGTCAGTGCCTAAGAAAATGTCTAGGGAACAGTATGGAGAATATGCATACTGATGTTTGAGTGTAAAGGATTAAAAGAACTTTTAATTTTTTTCAAATTTGTGTGTAAAATGAGAGCATGTTCCCCTCTTTGTGACCCCAATGCCCCCCTCTCATAAAGCATTCAGCTCCAACTTCGTCTAGACCATCCAACTATTACCACAAATTATCAAAAGACTTTGATTTAAAAAATGTCATTATTCTTAACATTCTCATCAAAAATATACCAATATTGTTGTGAAATGATCCAGTAATGAAAAGATCATTCATGAATATATTGATAAAACAATAAGTTGGTCGTCCAGTCACACACAGTTTTGCACAACATAATTTCAAACTGTTCTTCCGTTTTTCACTCCCAAAGTCTAAATATCAGTTCTCCTCACTGTCTGTCATACATTTCTCATGACTTTAGCTATGAGAGTTTGGTGTTAATCAGACAGAATTCTTTAGTTATTCCATCTTTCTTCTCATCGCTATTTTGCCTGAGGATGTTTTGCTTTTGTAAGCAGAATAGATATTCCTTTTTGGTCATTTTATGGAGTGGAATGGTTAAAAAGGATAATTTAATTGAAAGTTGAAGAAAAGACCGGGTGAGGAAACCAAGCTTCATCTAAGAATTCCCCGCCACAGGATTGACCCTGCATTATGGCATTTCTTTCATTACAGTTTAAATACACGAGTGTTAAAAGACATGAAATTAAAAATTAGTGGGGTGTTAAAAACTTAAGGAGGGAAAAAAAAAACATCAGGCAACCTGAACAAAATGTAATGACAATTGGGGAATTTCTACTGATTAGTTTCACATGGTATCCAGTGATGCTCATACCTGTAGATTGTCTCTTAATCTTACAAATATATTGAGAAAATAAAATACTATTTTATGCAGTTAAAGAGTTTGTTTAAGATTATTTGCTAAAATTTATAAATGGGGGTATTCAATTCATGACAAGATCATCCTACAGCTTAACGTACCCAGCCAAATAAAATTTCATGTAGTCAAATCCTCAAATTAAATTTTTAGACAAACATGGAAACAGACTTCAGCCACAGAAATTGTATGACGTGGTTCAATCTTAAAATTTTTAAAGAAGACAGAAACACGGAACAGTAATTTTAATAAATCCACCTACCATTGCGACTTTCTTGGTTCCTTATACAAGTGTGTAAGTCTTCCCTGTAAGTACTGTGAGATCTCTTGCATTGGCAGATACAAATATTCGACGTGGAAATTAAGTTGCTGTTCATTTGTTTGCAAGGATTTACTTCGTTATTACAAGTTCCTGTGTAATTGTAGAACTCTATTCTATCTCCGTTGCTCGATCGAAAGACTGGACATTCGCGTGTCTGGGCAGATGTTGACATAAACAAACATACGAGGACCAAAATTCGTTTAAAGATCGTGCTGCACTGATTAAAAATTTTTCCCTTTGAATAAAAGTTTTCCCGTCCAGCTCGTTCCTTCATCATATATTAAAGCAATATTCCAATATGTTTCGGATCAACTATTATTAAACAGGAAAATATGTATTTCCCAAAATCTTTAGTCTTTGTCTCGGCGTTCTCTTCTCTTTGAGTTGAAGAAGCACATTGAGTCATTAGAAATTCCGTGATCCCTAACATCCGCGTCAGTAAATGCTGTAAAGATTCGAAAACGCCCTTCCCGCAATTGTCAATCGTTCAGGAACTTAAGCCTTGCAAGAATGTTTTATTCCGACCGGAAGCCAGTATGGTACGAATGTCGTCTGCAGACCCTCGCCCAATTTTCGCGCGCGTGTGATTCTGACCACTTCTGGTGGTTTCGTCGATAACTTTCCTGATTCCGTAAGTTTGATGTTCTTGAAAACACCATAAAAGTGAAAGAAGGAGTATCCCCTACATCTGTTGATATATCTTTGTAATCATGTCTTGTTGATAAGTTTTCTTGTAGCTCATTCGCTAGTTGATCCGCTCTGTAAATATTGAGTCATTTGCTATTTTCGTCACAAAGCTTGGTGCAGATTGTCTCCTTGGTTTCAATTTAACTATAATGCATAGCCTAGAGCGCGTTCAATATGGAATGTTTGTCGTCTTTACGACGCCAAACCATAGGAAAGATTCAACAAACGGAAGCTAAATGAAGTTCTTCGTCCGCCATTTTTGGAAATGGACATTTCAAAAGAACATCACGTTAACGTAACGCAGAAATATCTTATGGGAGGGGTGGTAGAGGGCTTAGCTGTGCCTAGCAAAAATTTGAATGTTTCTGTCCTGGGTTTAACAAGTATTATGAGTCCACTCCATTTAAATTCGTTAACGGCCCGGGTTTTCTCTTAATGAAAGTAGAATGACGGTACACAATTTCCGGTTAGAAAAAATTCAGGGATTGAAGGACGGGGTAAGATGAACAAATTTCTTACTTTCTGCTCTATAGTGGGGTGGGAATAATTTTTGTCCTGGTCCGCGTCTGCTAAAATCATTAACATTTCTTTTGCATTAACTGCACGGTTGACTCAACACGCAGCTATTTGCATCAGTATTATTTACCCATTAACAGAGATTTACATAAAACCCAAATTTCCTAAGCGAGGAGAACCTTCCTATAATGTTCCTGACTGTGAATATATGAAAATCATATATGTGAACTGCGGATAAAGACGTGGATATCTTCATTACTGCGAAGATCGCTTTCATGTTCACGTTTAATGTTCCTGTCAACACTCTCTGAGGGTGGTATGAAAACTGATAAATTCAGACAAGGTACAAGAAGTTACAAGTATATCTACATGACACCAACATGTTCCTCCTCAATGTCGTGCAGCAAAAGGAAACAGTTCGTTCTACCTCGTTGTTGTGCTACATATAGCCGAGGAAGCGTTAGGATTGGTAAAGTTTCCGCACAGCCCCATACTATTGTAAAACAAATCTGTTTTCCCAACGGAAATGTATTGTTTTTGTCATTGTTTCTTCTGTTCAAGAACTGAATGCATAATGTAGGATGGGGCTGTGCGGAAATTTTACCTTAGGATTTTGTGAACGACGCCATTTTTGCTTCCGGTGATCAATAAGCAGTCAGATAATTCATTTAAAACTGGATGGTCATGTACAACGTGGCATCAGTTTTCACTGTTCTCGTCTTTATAGGCCCACCACATCTTTTCGCATCAGGTAAGCCGGGCATATACACTTGAATTCATTAATTTTATGGAATAGATAGTTTAGAAAAGATACGTTGCAGTGAAGTCGTTGTTATACTCCGTATTCACTCATTTGAACTCCGTCACAGTAAACTGTTACAAGCTCTTAGCCGGTAGTTAGATAACGGCGTAATATGTGACTACCACAGTCTATAGATTGTAAGATTTTACGCCACTATGTGCGTTGGTGTATATATATGTAAGATTTTTAAGCCGTTAACTAACGGCGTAAAATCTTACAGTATATAATTAACCGACTGGAAGAAATTACGCCGTTAGTTACTGGCGTAAAATCGTTCATATAAACACAACCGACTGGAAGAAATAACGCCGTTAGTTACTGGCGTAAAATCTTACATATAAGACAACCGACTGGAAGAAATTACGCCGTTAGTTACTGGCGTAAAATCTTCCATATAAGACAACCGACTGGAAGAAATTACGCCGTTAGTTACTGGCTTAAAATCGTACATATAAACACAACTGACTGAAAGAAATTACGCCGTTAGTTACTGGAGTAAAATCTTACCTATAAGACAACCGGGTGACCCTAAAAGCAGGAACGGTGGAATGGCGGAATGGCGGAGTGGCGGAAAAAGACACCAAACCCTAAAACACGGAACGGCGGAAAACGACCCAAATCCTAAAACACGGAACGGATGTCAGGGCATGTTGCACAAATTTTGTACAAAGACACCAAGCGCTTGGCTCATTTATCCCCACGACGATAACGCGTGTGACTAAAATTAAGCGTTATTAATTTTTTTTTCTTTTACTGTGTGGTATAAATAATAATGAACCATTATGCATGAAAGATAGCTACGTTTTCGCGTTGTAAACCTGTTTAGTTACTTTTGTTATGCTAAATTTGCCATGAGTTTTAGTCGCGGCATAAAAAGTCGCACAGCATGTGAAAACCAACTTGACATACCACATTACAATAAACAATTGTAACTTTGATACGTTTCCTGGTCAAATCCACATTGATTTATTGAAACAGTAATATCTCATATGCTTGTAGATGTGAGAACATCACAGGAACGTTTTCAGGTTTCTCAAAATATGACAACGTTCAGCCCCAGCTCCAAACTTAGACTAGCGTGAGAGCAAGCCCTCGTTACAAGCCCTTCAATACGAGCGTTTTTTCATCCACGAAAAAGTTTGGGGACTTGAGTAACACTAGGTGAAGAGAGGTTTGTAGGGTGTCACGTGCGCGGGAATTTCTCATGGCGTTTACCACTATTCGCATGGAAGCAGTTGCGAGACAAAAAAGAGGCTATCGGTCGAGGATCATATGGTTTGGTTTGTGCGACTTTTTATGCCGCAACTAAAACTCATGGGGGTTAATGAGCCACGCGCTCGAGTGTTTTTGTACAAAATTTGTGCAACATGCCCTGACATCCGTGTTTTAGGATTTGGGCCATTTTCCGCCGTTCCGTGTTTTAGGATCTAGGGTCATTTTTCACCGTTCCGTGTTTTAGGATTTGGGGTCATTTTCCGCCACACCGCCATTCCACCGTTCCGGCTTTTAGGGTCGCCCCGTTGTCTTATAGGGAAAATTTTACGCTAGTAACTAACGGCGTAATTTCTTCCAGTCAGTTGTGTTTATATGTACGATTTTACGCCAGTAACTAACGGCGTAATTTCTTCCAGTCGGTAGTCTTACATGGAAGATTTTATATACTGTAAGATTATACGCCAGCAACTAACTGCGTAATTTCTTCCAGTCGGTAGTCTTATATGGAAGATTTTACGCCAGTAACTAACGGCGTAATTTCTTCCAGTCGGTTGTGTTTATATGTACGATTTTAAGCCAGTAACTAACGGCGTAATTTCTTCCAGTCGGTTGTGTTTATATGGAAGATTTTACGCCAGTAACTAACAGCGTAATTTCTCCCAGTCGGTATATTATATACTGTAAGATTTTACGCCAGTAACTAACGGCGTAATTTCTCCCAGTCGGTATATTATATACTGTAAGATTTTACGCCAGTAACTAACGGTGTAATTTCTTCCAGTCGGTGATATATATATATGTAAGATTTTACGCCAGTAATATAATTTCATTATATATTAATTTATTATAATTAATCTACCGACTGGGTCAGTGGCGTAAAATCTTACAGTATATAGACTGTGTTAGTCGCATATTACGCCGTTATATATATTCCCGCTCTTAGCCTGTGGAGACGAACGAAATGGCGTACGAACGACACCGCCCCTCTCTCGTCTTTGGACTCGGCTAGTCACGCAACACGCCCTCTTCTCGAATTCTCCTCATAGAACGTTGCGTGACGTACCTTGTCAGGTAAAAAAAGAAAGAAAGAAAGGAAAGAAATAGCGCACACCCCCAAATGCAAGTAAGAAATTGCACCGATGTAAGACCCTCTATCGGACAAACCTTTCTTCGCTTTTGTATCGAGGAGTGAGCCTTATATATTTTGGCCCATTTTAATTGATAACATTTATTGTGTTTCAGGTGCTTGTACAGACAACCATAACTCTTGTTCCGATTGGGCTGGTATCGGGGAGTGTTCAAAAAATCCTCTGTGGATGCTTGATAATTGTCCGGTGAGCTGCAAAGTGTGTTCTGGAGTACCGGGTGAGTCAGGCCTTTCTAAAGGTTGTTGTTGTGGTAACGCGTTTGCCATGGCCTAATAAATGAGTACCCGTTTTGAGCCATGCAATTAAGGGCCCTAAGGTAAATGTGACCTCCTCAAAAAAAGTGACAAGCTATGATAACAATAACCATAACAATAAAGATGATGATGATGGTTATAGTAGTAATTATGACAAAGATGACAATGATAACGGTAATAGAAATCGTAGTGTTACCAGTTATAAATGGCCTTATGGATGCTTAGGTCAGAAAGGAAAATTGTACCTACAAGGTACTCGCCTTCAAGGTGCTGACTGGTGGATCATATTAAGAAAGTATTCCCAAAGCATTTTTATCGAAATGATATTGACGTGAAAATGAAAAAAGGTGGTACATATTCGAACAAAATGCAGCGTCAACGTGACTTGATGGGAGAGGGGGAAGGAATTTTCAGCAAAGAACGTGATTAGGTGTAGACGAAAGGTGTATGGTGAAGGAGAGGTACTGACCACTTTTTTATGAATTGATTTCACATCTTAGCGTGTGTCAACATTTACAATGACCAGTACTGTAAAAGTAATGTGGGGAACTGTTGGACGTTGTCCATTGGTGCTGATCTTGTAAAGAACTGTAGGAAAACTTGTGTGTGTAAATGCTGCCCCTCAAGTCCTACAACAGTACCAACAACTGCATATGTCCACAACGCAACAAGTTATACAACGATATCAGCTTTGACCTCGGCTACCACTTCAGTGGAAATAGCAACGACATCAGCCTTGACCTCGGCTACCACTACAGTGGAAATAACAACGACAGCAAAGGATATCAATACCACGCCTCAAACAACATCAATAATAACAAACTCGACTCCAAACGAGGAGAGAACTACGGTGCAAACAGGTGAGGGAAGGGGGGGCACGTACCCTTGATTTTTTTAGTCTCCTTCCTAGCTATTCTTTCGAATGTCACGTAACGCTCTGCCCAGAGACAGGGGGAGTGTTGTGTGACAACGTAAAGAACGATTGCAAAGGAGGCCAACCTTTCTACAGATAACGAATAAAATGTAACGAGGTTGTTTCCTTCGCCGCCGTTCTTTGGGATTTGGACGTTGCGTGACATCACAACGAACGGCTTCGAAGAGGACTAGCAGTGGCAACGAATGTAAATAAGGAAATAGGATCTGAGTACGAATTACGTTCTTGCGGTACCAAGAGTTTGAATCCGAAGGAATTCCAAGTCCAGTCCCATCTTTATTTTTTTTGTAATGTAGGAAAGGGTTGTGAGGATTCATTTTACTCCAAAGTCAAACAGAATTCATGATGACAATATTTTGGATATTTTTTTTGTAGAATACACGAGTGCCATACCAGACACAAGACGAATAGTAAACGAGACGTCACAGGTAATCAAGATTGCATTCGATAGTATCAGATTTAAAAACAGAGTCGTTCCCATACGCATTAAGTATTTTAAGCGTTGCATGAAGAATTTCATTTTCATAGTGAAGTATTCCGATCATTTATTTTGTTGCTGTATTGATCTTTCAGGACAAAGGTGCCACTGAAACGAGTGGATCAAAAACTATGTTGGTGTTAGTCATTACGATGGGTTGCGTGGCTTTTGTTGCTGTACTTGGAATTTTATTGCTTTGGTTTCGGAGACGAAGGCGTTCGTAAGTAATAAATATTTTTTGTTGTTCCAAGAGGACGATATTTTCCTTTTTCATTCCGTCATCATTTGTTTCTTCTTTGCACAGATGCTTTCCATTAATTCAGTACAAAATTAATCAATCTATCCATCCGTCCGTCCATCTATTCATACGTACGTGTATCTCTCATGTTTTAGTCAGTTTATTTAACAAATGGAGAAGCCTTGACTGTGCTCTGTTCTGTTGTAAAGCACGGAGGAGAGGGCTAGAGCACGAGAGAAGTGTGAGTGCTCTATTCGCTTCCTAAGTAACAAAAGCTAGAGAGAAGTCCAAGAAATGATCGAACGCTTTAGCTTTCTTGCTCTATGTTCTGTACTTTGATAATATAGAGCACGTTGTTTCAACCAATGACAGCGTGCGTTATATCTGAACTTTAATATAATATAAGATGTATTAGTTTTATCAACTGAGTTGATATTATAAATTGGCCTTGATCTACAAAGAGGTTATAAAGCTGAAGTTTCTAGTATTCGTCCCAGCAATTCGCTATGACGGCGGGCAAACGCTGGAAACGGCAGCTTTAGAAATTCTTTATGGTTGCCAATTTACATTATTAACTCAGAGGATAAAAACAAATTTTCTTGTAATACCCGCACTGACGCAGCACTACAGTTTCTGTAGTCTATCAATAAGTTATTCTGAGTCGTGAAATGTCAATCAATCAATCAAGCAATTAATCAATCGGTCATTCAACCAAGTACTCAACTTTCCACTCGACCAACAAGCAACTCAAAAGTTCCCAGTGTGAACATGTAAAATAAAGACAAAATTTTCATTCCAGTTTCATGATCAAATTCAGTTCCATTGGCGAATGAAACCACCTGTCCATCGCTAACTTTAAAAGATCGAACCACCAATCAAAAGAGCAACCATTTGTCTATTACGTCTGTCATTTTTAGCATTTTATCAGTTATGCCATTCACAAGTTAGTGAATAAGAAGTGCTGTCACGTTATCATTTTTTTTCTGAAAGATTCAGTCGTGGAAGCCTGGATCGAGTTAAAGAGCCAGGTATGCCTTGTTTAGGTAACACATTTATTGTATTTTGTCATTGAAACAAAAGACTACTTTCCTTTAGTTAAGGGAGTGGCAAAGTAAAACAACAGGAGTCTCACATAGAAGTTTGTAAATGGTTTTTGAAGCATGAAACATTGAAACAAAAGACTTTGAAACAAAAGACTTTATTTACTGTATTGAAACAAAAAATATTGAAACATAAGACTACTTTCTCTATTTAAAGGAGTGGCAAAGTAAAAAACATCAAGAGTCTCACAGAGAAGTTTCTAAGTGGTTTTTGAAGCTTTACACTGTTAAGCTATATATGTTCGAAAGACGAACATTCATGTTATCGTAGACATGGATATAACAGGACGATTCCCTCGCATTATCTCTGGCTCTTTTAGCACATTTGATTGCGCACATTGCCGATAACTGCACGAGGGACTCCCGAACCAACTTTAAAGGATTCTAGTTTTTATATTTTGGGTGACAGTTCTCGAATTAAGTAAGTCCGTCATTTTTGATGCAAAAGGGCACGAAGATGGATTGCTCTTCAAATTTATCTGTTATGATATAATTCACCCTTTTACCCCTGAGAGTGACCAGCATCTAATTTCTCCTTGCAATATCACATATGAATCTCCCATCAACGTCACGAGAATAAAGGAAATGATGACAAACTAAAGAAGCCCTTGACTGATAAACAAATTCTCCTTGTCAGCACCTTAGAAAGTTTATTGAGAACAGTAGGGAGACCTTACATACTGATGTTAAGGTGTAAGGGGTTAATAACGATTACTTTTGTCCTGTTTAAGTTGAAAACAACTCCACTCCCCCGGAAGAAGTTATTTGGTTAGAACGTCAACCAGAAAAGTCTTCAAGAAATCCGTTGTACCTTTCTACAAATGCAGCTGAAAATATCAGATTTTCAAATCATGATGTTGCTGAAGGTAAAAAGTGCTTCTTCCATGTATATTAAGAACCGGTCTATAAGAAATTGCGGACAGTTTTAATCAACCCTTAGCCTGAAATTTAGTTAACGAAGCATCGGCATTATGCAAAAGAAGGTTATTAGCCCGTTGAAAGGATAGGAATTTGCCCGAAATTAGAGCATAGTTCTTCGATACTGTCCGCTCGTTCAAACCTTTACTTCTGTCGGCTGAGATTTCAATCTTTCCCAGACTTCGCTCGAATGAGGTACGAGACTACAACTGAAGACTAAGCTACAATAATGTCTTCATATTAGTTAAGTCTGTTTCCGATCAAATTTAGAAGTTTTCTGGTAACTCACCTCTGTTTTTTTCCCCTTTCATATAGATACTCCTGAAGTGCTTTACTCGACGACCATTCCCAGCTCGCCAACTTCGCCATTGTATCATGTGTTAGAGGACCCTAACACGTCAGATACAAATGGAAAATCCGCTTTGTCGGCTCCTTCCGAACGGCCTTCCGATCCTTTACGATCTGATTCCGATTATGACGAACCTGTTTTTCGAGGCGTGCGCCCGGCGATTTTCCCGCCGCCTGGAGCACGAGAAAATGAGGCAAATTACGAAACCATGACGGAAGATCGTAATGCTGAGAGACTTGCTGACAACGCGGGTAAAAATGCTTTGGAAAATGACGACGAATACTGCTATAGTTACACTACTGCTTATCAAAACAAAAAAGACGAAGCGACCGAAAGACCTAAAACAGAAGGGCCTTCTTACTGTTCTATAGAGAGCCCCAATAATGAGTACCAGGCTCCCGTAGTCACTCCAGGAGGTGGCTGCACGCCCGTGGCGGGAATCGCTGAAGTTAACGGTTATCAACCCTTACAGAAGTCAACACGATCATTTTATCAACCTCTCATTAAAAATAATTAATCACTTCAAAGAGCATTCACTAAGAAATGAACAAAGTATGTATTTTCGTGATAAATTTTTGTTTCGTGTTTTCAGTGCTGTGATATTGAGTACCCTGACCTGAGTTTTGTGGCCTTTGTGCGACGTGTTCTTTCTATCCTTCGTGTCACGTGCCTTTGTATCCTTCATTTCACCTCCCTATTGGATGCTTTTGTATCACTTGCCCTCTGTAACATGTGCCTTTTGCTTTTTCGATCCTTAAGAAAAGCTTATTTTTGTTGCCTCCGCTGGTTTACTTCTTTAGTCGTTTACTTAGATATCTGTGTCAGCTTATTTTGACTGAAATTCTCATTCAAGGCTCGCTATCAGAAAGCTGTGGGCCAGAAGGGAAAGGGAGACGTGAAGTATAGTTTGTCTGAGAAAATTTTGTATCGAAGTTTTCTGTTAAACAGATTTTTGGCTTTTTTATCCGTTCTTTGTTTTTTGCCAAATTAGTTTTATCGAGTTTGATGAAGGAAAGAGCTCGAAAATTTAGATATTTATCACAACTCCGGTAACTAAGCCGAGAACCCGAAGAACTTTTTATTATTCCAACTGTCGTTTCCACTCTATACTCTCGCATAGGCTGCTACCACTGCTTAGTATTGTATTAAACAAGCTTTGAATTGATTTATTGTATCGTTACTCACATCTACTCTGTACACAATTAATGCAAAATTCAAAATGGCGAAGAACGTTTGTGATGTTCTGGTGAACATTTCTATTGCTTTATTTGTAATTCTTACACAAATTTAATTTAGTCATACACTGTTAATTCAGTTAAATGTAAGCAACCAAAAGATGCAACCTGCTATGAAAATCAGAAGAAATAATTTCGGCAAAATGTATTTCAGGTATCCTTGCGGTACTTAAACAAGTCAAACAAACAATATACCGTTAATTACTGATTATAAGATTTAGAACAAAATAGAAACTTTTTTGCTGATTCATGGAACACTTATCAAGTATTTTTTTCCATCATTCAGCCCTGCAATATTAATCCTTCATCCTCCCCCCGCGCTCCCTGACCGTTCAACCCCGATTTCGACATGCTTTTAAGATTCGATTTGAAATTGATCAGTAATTGGTTGGAAATACGAGGGTTTTTTATGTATCAAATTTTCCTCCAATACTAAAACCCCAACAAGTGTAATTTTCATTGAATGAGGGCCAAGGCAGAAAACGGACATCCCGCAAAGAAAAGAAAAGCTATTAACTGTATCGTGTTGATATTTCATGCCAGTATTAAGAACTTTCTATTTAAATAGCATTGTTAAATTATCATTGAAAAGGTTTTGAGAGAAAAAAAATGCAATTATGCCGCACGAAAAACTGTGTTCTATTTGTTCCTAGCTGGGTACCGTTTGCAGAAGATTGAAAGTTTGATTATCTGTTTATGGAGAACGATGCTAGCAGCCTATTTAGTAATTTTTTTTGGTACTGTTGCAATAGCAACGAGCAGAAGATGTATGACAACAGGAATTGTGGTGATTGATAGAACTTACGGCAATTATATGAGCAATGAGACATTTTTCAAGATGACGGACAAAATTCGGTTGAATACTGGTGGAAAAGATGACGATTCGTTTGAGTGCGATGAATTTGATGCTGTTGATCAAGACAGAACTAGTCGGTGTTTACAGATGTGTAAATGCACAAAAGAAGCTTCAACTTTTAGCCAGTTTGATGGTGAATGGACTTGTGTTGAAAATGAAGAGTTTCGCGAAAGAGAGGGTAAGTGGAAAAACCGCTGTGTAATTTTTTTTATTCAAGAAATTCAAGAGGGAGTGGAATTTTATACCGTCTAAGTTTCGCTTTTCATCTCTGAAACTTCCATGAGAGTTTAAGGAGCCTCAAAAATACAATTTATTTTCTTAAAATATCTGGAATATAGAACCCTGGCTACATAATGATGATATGATATCAAATCCCTATAAATCATGATAAAATTCTGAGCAGGAGGTTTAATAATGCAAATAAGCACTACCGTATTTATAGGAATTACGTCACAAAAGCTATTCTCGACCCCAATAATGCAGTTTTAAGATATTGAATAACTATGATGATATTGTCTCTTCAGAAAAGAAAAGAAAATGAGATAAACTTGGCTTAAAGAACACGAAAGAACCTTTAAACATTTCTTAAGATACGTTTAAAAGGGAACTAGCTATTTCGGAATGTTTAGAAATTTAACTTTCTGAAGTGTGGAAATTAGAGACATTTGAATCACCGATAAGAGAAAAGTCCTTGATCTTCGAATTATCTACGTTCATGGTCTACCAGTTTTTGTAGCTTTGATCAAGAAAATCAGTTTCCCTCTTTGGCACTGTAATTAAAACATTTTGAATGATTAGTCGTCGATCAACTGGAATCTGAAGAGCCAATAACTGTTGGAACGATTTTCATTACGTTGTGTGTCATTAGTTCCCTGCTCTGTTTGAGACCATATATCTCCCTTCAAACCTACCGAAGAATTCAAACTTTCTAACGATTTGTTGTACTCTATTGACACATTTGAAGTTTGTATTGATAAAGTCTTCACTGTAATTTGAAAATTTCCTCAAAGAAAATCTCGTATCGAAATCTGCCGAGTCTTAATCTTCGACCTAAAAATCTTTCACTGACTTGAAATACTTTTTCACCGAAAATGCTTTCCATCGTCTGCTCTAAAAGAGATTTACTTATTGTTATCAAGGGCACATGCTCATGTCTATTGTCGAAATCGATGTTAAAATTTAAAAATCTTACTTCCTATTTGGACCGAACTGTATGAAGATTGCACCGCTTGTTTTCGATAAAAGAGTTGAAAGGTAGTGTAGGGCCGTGAAATGATGGTAATTTTCATGACTGACTGAGAAATTCACTGAGTTGAATTGTGTAAGACGGTATATAAAAGGCGGGAGAGACTTATGCTGATGGAAATAAGATGGACACCGTTCAAAGGTCGTTCTTTTCCTCTACCTTGATCTTCCACCTGACCACCCCTCTCATACAAATTATCGTTTAGAGTGATACAGCTCCCCCCGCCCCACTCTCCACCGTTAATGATTTAAGAAAACGAGTATAAGTGGCTCTACTTTGTGGAACCAATCCATCTTTCAACAGACTGCGGATTTCTCTTTGCAATGGAGCGCGAAAACGATCCATTAAGAATTCTGCAGGACGGCGAGGAAAAGGCGGTTTTTTTACCGAGTGGAAACTGTTCAATTGATGCGTCAACTTCAGAGTACCTGGACTGTGGAATATGGCGTCCAATCGACGACATGAGCGTTTTGAACAAATTTAGTTTACACGGAAGGTTTACAGACAGTTACAGTTTTAAGGCAAGTACCTCGATACCAATGTCGATTTTACTAATCTGACACTTGGAGAGAAGCAAGAGTATATAAACTTGAATATGAAAGCGATCTTCGCAGTAATGAACACTACTTAAGCGGTAGTGAAAAGAAGGCCTGAAGAAAAATTCAGGCCTGAATTTTTTTTTTCAGGCCTTCTTTTCACTACTGCTTAAGTAGTATTCATTACTGCGAAGATCGCTTTCATATTCACGTCTTTAACCGCAGTTCAAATATATGACTTTCATATATTCACAGCCAATATATAAACCGTTTATGTTCTCTTGACTTAGCTATTCGGGCTGTTTATGCCGAGAAAAAGCTGCGATGATTTTGTTATAGCGAAACGTCTGCACCGTAAATGTTACATCAATCACAAAACAAGAAATATTATAAGAAATATTATTCTAGTGGGAATTTTTTCGAACATCTATCTTACCATATTTACCTAAAGGAGCACGGTCTTCGTGCAGAGGCCGATTGAGGCTGATGCATCATGATCAAAAGATAAAGTTTTGCGGTTATGTTGAATGTATTTTTTTTCTTAGCTTTTGGCCACACCGCAAAAAAAGAAAAAGCCGAAAAGCAAACTCTAGGTGAATATTTTAGTAAAGAAAAAGAATCTCCACAAACATTTCACGTTTTTATTTCTCAGGCGGGTGGTTCAAATTTCTCTACTTTCCTCAACGGCCGCGTTATAAAACTTGGTTTGACGTGTCTTCCGCCCGTTGGGAAACCTTGTTTGCTGTTCAAGCTCAGAGGATCCGAAAGGTGTAAGTTGAATCTATTTTTCATTAAAAAAAGAACGATTTTAGAGTGAATGTCTAAAAACTAAACTCGAAATAATTACGGCAGCAAATCAAAAAGGAAAAGTGAAGACGATGTGAATTCAAACTAAGCTCTCGTCAACGACCTCAAGCTCGGATCTAATGAAGTCAGGATAAGTTTAAGCTTTGAATCTGATTGGTTCTGACTAGACCAATGAAAAGGCGTGCTACGGTAAAATAATTTATCCCGGATTGCTTTGTGTCCTTTACACTCTATTGAAAGTAGCCTATATTTATATTTTACAGTATAAACAGAATTAACTATAGTTCCTCTTTACAATCGTTTTATGGACTTGGCTTTTTTTTTCATTCCCATCCATAGGTTCACTTTATGGGACACATTTCACACCAGCACAAGCAGCGCATACTTCTACATTCAAACCATCTGAAACTCGCGACGACTTCTTACCAGTGGAATCCTATTTAATTACACCAACTCGAAGTGTTAGCTCCACATCTACAGTATCAACTTCTGCTGAGGAAAGGCTTTCAATTGAAGCAAGACAAACCATGCCCCTCTACACCGCACCCACTCTCGAAGGAGTTGCTCCACTATCTGTCAAGGGAATGTCTTTGATTACTTCATTTGGCAAAACTTTACTCACGCCAAAACCAACTGCTCATATAATTATCTTCTCCTCTTCTCTATTTGTCGACGAGAGGTTTGATTCACGACGAATGACTTCAAATTCTAAAACGGAGACGATGACTAAGATTGTTGCGTCTAAATCGATTTTTGACGCCAAAGGTAGCATCGGAATGAACAGCACACCAATTCTGCCTAACGTACGAAGGGTAAGGAAGCGCTATGGGAATTGATGTGGTTGATGGTTAATTTTTTTGTTATCAATTTCCTTATCGTTTCGTGGCTGAATTTCAACGTATGACCTTCCAGATGAAGGCTTACTGTTAGAGATATTTCGAGAAAAAAAAAAGTAATTTATTTCTTAAAAATTCTCCCTATGAATGGTAGACTTTCAGTCAAAGAAATGACGAAGAAAAAGCTACCTTGTCCTCATAAAAGTCTAAAGATATAATTTCGAGTCCTCTTAAAAGTCTAAGGATATAATTTCGAAAACTCCTATGTAGTTGAAAAAAAAGTTTGTGTTACTCCTAAGTAACACCCAATACTAGGGCCAACAATTTTTTTTTTCTGACCAACATTTTAATGGATAATGTATAAGTATTGAAATAGGAACTTACTTGCAAACCACTTTTGCGAGATGGAAGGAAAAGTTTCTCTCACTGACTAAATATCCCTCTTTCCATTTTTATTTATTTATTCATTTATTTATCATTTTTACCCCCACATGAGGTAGAAAAAAAGTTCAGAATGAGGGATATACTTCTCGGGTTAAAAATACATATATTTTTTCCTCTGATAGATCGTCAGGCTTAGCTTAACTCTGCTGTTATATTATCATGAAGTTTAATATTAAAGATTCTCCTCGAAGATGTTACGTGATGGTATTGTAACGTCCTTTTTTCCAGAAAGAATCGACCCCAAGGTCTCGTGGTCGCACCAGCAACTCGACCATAGTGACAGCTGTGATCCCAGGAAGCCTTGCGGGGTTATTAGTCATTCTTGTCTCGATCCTGTTACTGTTCCTTGCTCGTCGGATGGGTCATTTAGTGTAAGTACTTATGATCAATGTTAGCATCTAAGCAATCGCTCACCTACCCCTCCCCTAACCCATCAACGGTCCATTGATATCAAGAAAGGGTTAATGTTGGGTTAGGGGAGGGGTAGTATTTGAATGTGTTGTGTTGCTTTACTTTGAGGACCGACAAAATTTAGACTTGTGTATTTGTTTTTCTTTTTGCAGCCGTGTTGCGGCCGAGAGAGACGTAGATGCGGGAGGTTTGTTAATAACATAATTTTCAATTGCTTGTTGAAAGTAACTACGGAATGTATCGGTTTAGCTTTAACCATAAACTCCAGGAATGGCCCAAAAAACTCAAGCCATCTTCTCAGTTAATGAAAAACCAGTCGAAAGCAGGCCACTCGCCTTTTTCCATTCCACCTTTGCTTTGTTTTGTCTTTCATATTATCAGACGGCAAGGCAAGGATTTATCACCATTGAGGCTACATGAGGTTTTAAATGGTCGTAGAGTGTTTATTTTCAAGTTTCCGACTAAAATGGTGAAGTTTTTTAAAAGAACAGTCTCTGTTAAACAAGCTCATAAATCATTAAAAAAATTGTTTCATTTTCTTTAAACAGACGAAGGTCAGCAGTCCATAAGCGAGGTAAGTTAGTTGTGTCTGTACATTCTTTTTATTGTTTGCCTGCTAAAACGTTTACTGTATATGTTGCACTTGTGCTATGTTGGTCGGGCTATAAATGAGTTATGTATAGTTTGAACTGAGTATTTAGACAAACCTTAGCCGAGCTCCTCTTATTGAACCATTATAAACAAACTGCACGAAGCGCAGATTGAATTAAAAAAAAGCGCAAGTGACCAAATCACGTTTGGTTTTGGTTTCGTGTCTGATGAGTTGAAGACTAAGCGCCTTTTTTGATTCAATCATTAAGTGAAGCAAAACAAAACCAATGCAATCCTGGGTTACTCTGAGCGCTCGGTTGAAAGTTGTTCTGTTTACTCAACATGTTGAGGTGCGCAGGTCTGAGGTAGCTACTTACCCAGTGCTCGGTTTCCACTTTTTCAGGATCATACCATTCATGGAAGTGAAGAAAATCGCTCTGTAGAAAATCTCTCGGTTTACGAGTTGGCTGAAAGGGGAAATTTGTCAAGTGTCACTGAAAATCAAGCTTCAGGTAAGAACAGTTCTTTGTTTTTCGCTGTCCTCTCTGGAGAAAATGTCTTTAAACATTGTTCTTAACATTTCTATGTAGTTACAAGTCCAGTTTAAAAGAGACGAACAGATTGTTATTCACGGCGGCTTCAACATAAACAACACAACACCTGATGTAAGCTGAAAATGTTTACGTGTAGCCGCCCCCAGATATTCAGCATTGGTGGTAGCGATGTCTACAGAATTGCACCAACTCTCCCCTCCCTCCCCTGTTGTTTTCTGGATGTCCGAATTCTCTGGAAGGAAGCAATGGAATTAGTAAGGTAAACTTCATTCAATATATATGATATCACATTACATGTTGGTACGCTTTCCATACCATGTAAAGGAAATTGGCAATGGCAATATACCAGGTAAATAAATGGTTAGCTATGGAATATCTTCTCACGTAAAACGAGGTTGATTTCCACCGTTCTCTCGAATCCGGTCCTCCTTTCTCCTCGGAAAGTGAATTCTGGTCAGTAGCACGGGCATAAATTCTGGAACAGCGGCTCATTATCTTTCCCAAATTAACATCTGTAGTTTTAGATCGTGAGCGGATAAACGAATCAGCAAAAAGAAAGCAAGAAAGCTGTATTAAGGAGCAAGAGCACAAATGAACTAACCAAAGAATTAACCGTTTGATCCCTAAGAGTGACCAGCATCTAATTTCTCCTTACAATATCACCCCTGAATCACACATTAAGGTTACGAGAATAAAGGAAATGATCACCAATAAAAAAAAGCTCTTGATTGTGAAACAATTTCTCCTTGTCAGCTCCTTAGGAAATGTATAGAGAACAGTATGGAGAATATACATACTGATGTTAGGGTGTAAAGGGTTAATAGATGAATGCCTTAAGGAATGAACCCATAAATAAATTAACAAATTAATGATTAATTGAAAAATCTCGAAGATAGGTACGCAAAAATCAAAATGATAAACAATTTCTTCCGACCTCATTGTTCTTTTCTTCTATTTCTACATATATGGTTCTCTAACATATATATTTTTGTTTGTCAATAATCAAATTTTGTTTACTGAAAGTGTGTTCCGCTGCGGGGTTGTTAGCTGCTGGAGTGAACTCATTTGAAAGTCAAAACAGGCTAATCTCATTATCATTCACATTGTGCTCTCACAACTGCACGCGGTAACTGCCGAATAAAGGAAAGACCTTACTGTTGACGAAGCTTCGTGAATTATCTTCTCTCAACCGGCTTGGTGCAGAAAAACTTGTGTCTAACGACGATGGGTATTGCTGGGCGGAAAGCTGTGGTCATGGGAACAAACGAGAAAGGTTATACTGGCACATGGGACGCAGAGTCAGCGAGCTTATACGTCTTGAATGGCAAGGTAATGTGAGCTCTTACTCGTTACTTTAAGTAAAAGGCATCGACTAAATTCTTTATTTGACCCAAACCAAAACTTACGTAGTTGTAGTTTATATGTAAATCATGATTTGCCCTGACTTTGTGAGCAACTTCTGTATCAGCGTGAAGATGACCTGAAACCCGGTTTTAAAGAAGGCCAGGTCTCTCAATCGATGTTAAATTTGACTGTTTTAGTTGAATCATGTAACAAAACCTTAACTTTAAACGTTAATGTTAAAAGTCGTAAGAAAAAGCTAAAAACTGATCGCTTCTGAGAATTTAAAGGTAAAAGAAAATGATAAAAGTAACTGCAAAGCACATAAAATTGTTGCGTACCATATTAACCCTTTACACCCTAACATATGTATGCATATTGTCCATACTATTTATACATTTTCTAAAGCACTGACAAGGAGAATTTGTTATGCAATCCAGAGCGTGTTTCGTTAGTGATCATTTCCTTTATTCTTATTACCTTAATATGAGATTCAGGGCTGATATTGTAGGGAGAAATTACATGCTAGTCACTCTTAGGTGTTAAAGAGTTGACTTCACGAAGTGCGACCTGGTAGATGGAATGGAAAGCTTGGTCATGAAGGACGGGAAAAAGTTTAATCAGTGGTCTGAGGAAAATCTTAATTTCATTTTATGTTCTTTTCTTTTGAAAATATAACCAAAGTTGTGGGGAACTATAAATCAATATTAGTGGTAGGTGCTAGCCTAGGACGGTTTAATCGATCCTTTTTTCTGTATTCCTGGCTGCATAATTTACAGATCCTTACTTGTCAGATGTCAAGACAGCCTTGCTTTAAGGGCCACGACCTTCTGTATGACTCCACGTCTTTACTTTATTTTCTCTCCTCATTAAAATAAAGGAGACCAGACATCATTTTTCAAAATAATGTTGACAAGTGTAACATTAATAAAGTATCCGAAGTGTGACTCATGCAGGATTCTTGGGCACTGACATTTCCTGTCAAAAATTCCCAATTAAATCCTTCTTTCCGTGACGTTGTTATTTCCTGTGCTTAGTTGGCGCTTTTAGTCCCAAATGAGTTTGAAGCCGACTCCTTCTCTTTTACTCTAAAATACTAATAATTTTTAAACGTTAAAAGTTGTCGTTCGGTAACGTTTTGGTTTTAAACAACTATTCGATCAAGGCCTTGAGCTAAAGTATTTACTTTTTATTCTAAGCTTTGGCCGATCTACGGCATGCGTGCTATAAACGTATCGTAGGTGATACGATTAATTAGAATACAGCTGTTTCGAGAAAAGTTGTCCGGAAAAAGGAAAAAAAATTCACACGAAAATCTCAAAAGATGATCTGGGTAATAAGTAATCAATTAATTTTGATAAGCACTAAAAAAAAGTGAATGAACTCGCCAAACCCACGATGTCTCGTCCCTAAAGCCACAATTGCTCAGACTTCCATGAAACCCTGAACCGAAAGAACGTGACCTGAAAATTACCCACAATATCTTTCGGGCTTATCCTGTGCATCTTTTTCCGATAAATTAACTCGAAACAGCTGCATATGATTAGGAAACTATTGAGTTCCCTAATTGTAGCGATGATAACACATAGTAACAGAGAAAATCGCTAATGAGCAGCAACGAGAACAAAAGTTAGATTTTAGCGAGTATAGTTAAAAACAAGAGCTCTCTGAGTTCAATACATTCTTCCTATGCGTTTGAGCGTGTCCTTAAGTAGCATGTCGTAATGATGTGGGATATTGATCAAATGAAGCCTTTAAGTGCTACTGTGGTTCTTTCTTTATTCACTCCGAGCTTTCGCCGTTCTACGGCATCATCAGGGAGGACGATAAAATATTTGCGCTATGGTTTTAAACGTTGGAGGTGCCACTGTAAATTAGCATAGAGTAAAACTAGCCAGTAGGACGCATGAAAACTAATGGCGTGATAAAATGTTCTAAAATATGTGTTAAAAACAGTTAATTAAAATAGCTCATTAAAATAAATCATTAAAATAGAAGCGTCCTACTGGCTAGTTTTACACTATGCTAATTTACAGTGGCACCTCCAACGTTTAAAACCATAGCGCAAATATTTTATCGTCCTCCCTGATGATGCCGTAGAACGGCGAAAGCTCAAAACCATTCTAAACCGTTTTTCTGAAGACGTTATTGATTGAGCTCGTTCATCGCTCTTCCCTCAAAATAGTAGAGAAATAAATAAAAAGTGCAAAAGAAAATCTTAATTTTTGATCGTCAACACCCGTATCGTGCAATCAGTGTACCGTGAAAAACACACGTCGCCTTGTGTTGTTAACTTAAACATGTTTCCTTTGCTAACGAGGCTGGAAAACAATGCAGTTTATCCAATACCACGCCTACATTTTGCATTCTGGTATGCTGCTATTCTGGAAGCCTCACAATTATAATTACATATTTACTAACACAAAATACTAAACAAGCAAAGTAACCTAAATACTCGCTCTTCGCAAGACTTTAATGCATTTTTTTTATGCAAGTTAAAAATATTAAGAAGAAGATGTTAGAGTAGATGTGCAAGATTTCCGTTTAATCCCGCACTTTAATTACAATGCATAAAGTTCTTTTACCAAAGAAAACAACAGATCGCCTTGGGATTATAGCTTTGTTTTAGAATACTATGGGGTTATTCTAAAATCTTTCCGATTTTCACTTGCTGACAATAGGCAAAATATTGATTAGTAGTTAGATGGAAAATTTTACGTATGTACTAATGGTACAGAGAAATACGATTTGTAGCATTTGAGATTGAAGCAAGTGTTACGTATTTTTCCAATGTTTTTAACACCGGGATGTTATTGAATTAAAAACTCGAGCGCGAGTTCAAAAAATTTGCATTGACATTCCAGAAACAGCCATTACTTGGAATATTTGTGCAAGTTATGAACCAGCTGTCATATTTTTTCTTTCAGGATGTGTTCCCGAGTTGTTTCACTGACTGCACAAGTGAAGAACAAGCAAGCAACTTTTCTTTCAGATGTTTCATTGGCGTCAAGCAACAGGATTTTCCAAGACGGTCATTTCACACTGCACAGATGAAGATCAAGCAAGTAACCGTTACAAAATTTCTTTCAGCGTTGTTATTGCAAGGAAAATTGCATTATTTCAAAACAAGTAATTCAAGTGCAGTTCGAAGATTTTACAGAACTTTCATAGGAAAACCCGTTACCTTGAACACATTTATATAAACAGGATGTGCAAGTTTGTCGTTTCTCAATATTTGCTCGAAGTATTCTTCAATGAAATTTCCACGTATGTGTCAAGTTTTTAAAATTTGTAATATCTATTTGAAAATCTTAATTTTTCCCGCCAAAAGACTTAAAAATACGGCGCTCAAAATACGCATGCGCCAGTTTTTTTAAAAAAATTTTCTCTGTACAATAATCAAACAACTACACATAGTGTATTCAATGTTCCTTTTATTATTCCATTCACTAACATAAGTTAATTATTTAACTAAAATCGATTAAAAAGTGTCAACAGAAAAATGTTGTCTATAGATACTAAGACTTTTGGCGGGAAAATTTAGGTGAATTTGCACAGCGCTTCCCCTGGCAACTTTTTTTCGGAAAATTCAAAGAGCCCTCTCGTACAAAATAAATTTTAAAAGGTAAATCTTAATCTTGACAAAATTTCTTCAGTGTCCAATTGAAATTAAAAACTTTCTGTACGAGAGAGAACAATAATATTAGTGAAAATAAACATGACAAGCTTTACGACGAAATTTAGAGATAGTGCGTATTTGAAAGTGTACTTTGAGAAAACCTTCCATGCTAAACACCCGTTGACATTCCCAAATAGTAAAAGGCGATGTAGTGATGTTCACAACCAATTCAAATTAACCCTCTTCTGTTTTCAATTTGCAAGTCTAGGCGTTACAACTGAGAGATTCTAGCAAAAAAAATTTACAAAGTATCTGTATATTTTGGCATCCTTTGAGAATTTACAAGACCAAAATGCCCCAAAAAAGTACCTATTCACTTTTGAAAGAAATTCCTGTCTAATCTTTGAATTGAGCACTTTGTTGCTAATACAGATTGCTTCTAAGTTTAGAACTTTTAGGTCGGTTTGTTTTATTGAAATGTTTACGCCAAAACATTGGGAAATGATTAACTAACTGCAATTTCGTATCTTAGCTTGTCATGTTATCTTCACAATTTATACAATTAACTACGTGCTGCAAGGGACAAGGGACAAAAATTTTTCCTAGTTTTCTTTAACTTCATGCACTTTGGCCAATTAATTTTCGTTTGGGACTGAATAAAGCTGATAATGTAATTTCAAGTTTTCATTTGTCCCTTGTAACACATTAACATAATTAGTATCCTACATTAACTGAAAATCATTGTCTGGATTCCAAAATCTTTTAAGAATAAACTGATCGCAAACTTGTTTAATGAAAAATAGTTCAGACTATATGGAAACTCTGTTTTGTATTTTGATTAGTTTCTTTAGATTGGACCACCATAATAACAATTGATCAGGATGGACATTTGCAGGTTCTTACGTATCATAGTTGTCTTAATTGTGATATTTCAAAGCCAGATATAAGTTAACATTATCTTTGTCATAAAATGTGCACATGTTCAAGTTTGCGAAGTTGAGGTTTCTCTATTCCATATAAAATAATTGTCAGTTCCTTTCGAAAACATCAAAGTTCGAACAACACATATCAATTGCACATATGGAATCATCCTAGAATTTTCAGCAAGAGACCAGTCAAGATAAGCCATGAATTGTTGCATCTGAGCTAACGTGAATTTTAAACACGACT